TAGGGCATCCTCTTCTTATATAAATGAAAGTTATGTTGATTGATGTATCTCGAATTGGTAGGCTTATGGCATCCTCTTCTTGTGTATATGAATATGATCTTGATTGAAGTACCCTGAATTGATAGGCATAGGCATCCTCTTCTTGAGTAACTAATGTATCTTGACTTAATGGACATGAATCAGTAGACTTGATGGTGGTAGCCCTTTCATAAATGACTAATGAAGTATTGTAAGGCTTTATCTTGAATCGGTAGACCTAATGTTGGTAGCCCTTTCATGAAGAGTCTATGAATGAATGTAATGATAAACCTTGAATCAGTAGACCTAATGGTGGTAGCCCTTTCATGTGTGAAATGATGAACCTTGAATCGGTAGACCTAATAGTGGTGGCCCTTTCTTGAGGATTCAATGATCTATCCTCATAATGTGCCTTGAATCGGTAGACCTAATGGTGGTAGCCCTTTCATGTGTGAAATAATGTACCTTGAATAGGTAGACCTAATGGTGATTGCCTTTTCATGTGTAATGTACTTTGGATCGGTAGACCTAATGTTGGTAACCCTCCCAAGTATAATAATGTTAATGAAAATGAACTACTCTATGGGAATGGAGGCTAAGTACCGAGTGGATATGGTAAGATGGAAGCTCTCCCTACGTTAGGTCGGGTTTCAATGAACATCTTTCTTATCCCATAACTACGTACCTACATAGGATATTAGCTAGTGGATCCACCTAAGCTAAAATGTTACCGCTCCTACCTTAGGCAAGTAGACCAACCCTTTACGGTGTGTGATAGACATCATATTCCATGTAAAGCTCACATGTTCTATGTCGGTTAATGCTTATTCCCATCATGTGAGATACGTGCTATGGTTACTTGAGAAGTTATATGAAGTGTGGGTGGTAGTATGAGATGACATTCATGCATTGCACGAGTAGGCTTTGAGAGGGCTATGTTGTGATTCTACAATGTCTTAATGTCTAATGAATGAATGTTCTCTTAATGAAGCTAATGAGAATGTTGACTTAAAGGCTTAATGTAATGATAAATACTTGGAATTGATATTATGAGTTACTTTCCTTGTCATGACTAATGAAATGTATGTGTTCCTTATGAATGAGTATTGACTAAAGAAAATGAGCAAGGAAGAATGGTAAGTTCATCTAAGGTGGCCTCAAAGTGGTACTTAGTAGGAATAGTATTATGGGATACTATTCTTACATTGCAAAAGTATAGCTTAGGGTTACTTTAGGTGAAGGTTCTAATGTGATGAAATGACTTATATGTTGAATGTGATTGTATCTTATGCTTCTTACACTAAACTTCTTGATGTTTCTTAAAATTGGCATATAGCATGGTTTTCAACCAAAATGTCCTTTTTAAGCATGGTTTTTGCATGGCTATCATACTTCATACATTTTTGTGTGCTAACCCATATTTCTACATTTTCACAAAGTGTAGGGTTTGGAGACTTGATGTTCTATTCTTGGAAGATAGGTTTCTAAGGAGCAAGGAGTTGAAGATATGGTCAGTCCTCATAGTTCCGAGGACAAACCCACCATTTTCTTATATGTCTTTTATATTATGATTAGAGCTTTTGTATGGGCTACGTCCCAAAGTTTTAAGTCTTATGTTCTAAATGGTTTGAGACAAAGTATAGAAAGACTTCCGCTTGTTTTTATGAAAAATGGCTTCGATTGTAAAGAAAAGTTTTAAATTCTGCACTTTTTCCCTATGTTCTTATGTTATGAATGCTATGAGGGTTGTATAAGGCTTTTCAGAGTCTTGTACGCCGTGTCACTTCCGGGGTGTAGGCTCGGATCGTGACACTAGAGTGGTAACTATTGTTGTAAGCAAATTCAATGAGAGGTAGGTGCTCATCACAATTACCTTTGAAATCAACCACACAGGCCCTCAACATATCTTCTAAGGTCTGAATGGTGCGCTCTGCTTGACCATCTGTCTGAGGATGAAAAGCAGTACTCAAGTTCACCTTTGAACCCAAGCCTTTCTGAAAAGATTTCCAGAACTGTGCAGTAAATTATGCTCATCTGTTTGAAATAATCAATACCGGAACTCCATGAAGTATGACTACCTCTTGAATATACAACTTAGCATAATGTTCTGCTGAATGGGTAGTTTTTACAGGCAAAAAGTGGGTTGATTTCGTCATTCTATCAACAATCACCTAAATCGAATCATACTGCCTGCAAGACCTTGGTAACCCAGTAATGTAATCCATATTAATCATTTCCCACTTCCATTCTGGAAGTTTTATATTTTGAACCAAACCACCGGGTCTTTGGTGCTATACTTTAACTTTTTGACAATTTGGACACTTAGCAACAAACTCTGCAATGCCCTTCTTCATACTACTCCACCAATAAACTTCTCTCAAATTACGATACATCTTTGTGGAACCCGGATTGATAGAATATCTGGAGCTATGAGCTTCCTCCATGATTCTCTTTTGTAGTTCATCCACCATTGGTACACACAACCTACCTTGATACCTCAATACGCCATCTCCCCCTTGTTCAAAAGTCAATACTTTTTGCTTATGAAAAATTTCCTTCAATTCAAGCAAAATATGATCTTGGTCTTGCTTCTCTTTCCCTTCTGACACTAATGATGATTCATCCCCATTCATCACCACTACTCCTCCTTCTGTTGAATTCATTAGTCGAACTCATAATCGTGCAAGTCTATGTATATCTTTTGCTAGATCTTTCTTATCTTCCTCAAAAAGGGCGGTACTACCCATAGACAACCTGCTCAAGGCATCAGCAACAACATTAGCCTTACCTGGGTGATATAGAATACTCATGTCATAATCCTTAAGTAATTCTAACCACCTCCTCTGTCTAAGATTAAACTCTTTCTGACTAAACACATACTGAAGACTCTTATGATCAGTGAATACATCTACATGAACACCATACAAATAATGACACCATATTTTCAAAGTAAATACTACGACAGCCAACTCTAAGTCATGGGTTAGGTAATTCTTCTCATGAACTTTCAATTGTCGGGAGGCATAAGCTATAACTTTGCCATTTTGCATTAACATACAACCCAAACCAACTCTGGATGCATCACAATATACAACAAAGTCTTGTGTACCTTCTGGTAAGGTCAATACTGGGGCAATAGTCAACCTCTTTTTCAATTTCAGAAAGTTTTTCTCACAAGCTTCAGACCATTGAAACTTCACTATTTTCTAATTTAACTTAGTCAAAGGGGACGAAATAGATGAGAACCCCTCCACAGACATTCTGTAATATCCAGCCAACCCCAAGAAACTCTTAATGTCAGTTGGAGATGTGGGTCTAGGCCAATTTTGTACTGCCTCTATTTTTTGAGTGTCAACTTTAATTCCATCACCGGAAACAATGTGGCCTAAGAATTCCACGGACTCAAGCAAAAACTCACACTTAGAGAACTTGGCATACAACTCTCTATCCTTTAGAGTTTGGAGAACTATTTAGAGATGACTAGCATGATCTTCCTCATTCCTCAAATAGATTAATATGTCATCAATGAATACGATAACAAACATATCTAAATAAGGCTTGAATATTCTATTCATAAGGTTCATAAACGTTGCAGGTGCATTGGTCAAACCAAATGACATAACTAGGAACTCATAATGAACATAACGGGTCCTGAATGTTGTCTTTGGAATACACATTCCCTTACCCTCAACTGATTGTAGCCTGATCTGAGGTCTATTTTAAAGAAACAGGTGGCACCCTGAAGTTGATCGAAAAATCATCAATTCTCAGAAAAGGATACTTATTCTTGATGGTAACCTCGTTCAACTGGCAGTAGTCTATACACATTCTAAAGGAACCATCTTTCTTTCTCACAAATAAGACCGAAGTGCCCCAAGGTGAGACACTTGGTCGAATAAAACCCTTATCAAGGAGATCTTTCAATTGTTCTTTTAGCTCTTTCAACTCTGTTGGAGCCATTCTATATGGCGGATAGATATAAGATGAGTATCTGGAAGAAGTTCTATACCGAAGTCTATCTCTCTCTCAAGAGGGACTCCGGGTAGATCATCAGGAAAGACTTCTGAAAACTCACTCACAACTGGAACTGACTCAATAGAAAGTGTCTCAACACTAAAGTCATTAACTCGGATTAAGTGATAGACACAACCCTTGGAAACTAACTTTCTTGCCTTAAGGTACGAAATGAAACGACCTTTAGGCACTATTGAACTACTACTCCACTCTATAACTGGCTCATTAGGAAATTGGAACTTGACAACTCGAGTTCTATAATCAATAGAGGCATAACATGCATGAAGCCAGTCCATACCAAGAATGACATCAAAATCAACCATGTCTAACTCAACTAAATCATCCATAGTGTTCTTGTGATTGACGGAAACGCTACAATCACGATAGACTCGCTCAGCTAGAATAGACTCTCCAACAAGTGTAGAAACACAAAACGGCTCACAAAGTTTCTCAGGAAGAAAATCAAATTTCATCGCAACATAAGAAGTCACAAAAGATAAACTCGCTTTTGGGTCTATCAAAGCATAAACATTAAGAGTAAAGACTTTGATCATACCAGTGGCAACATCTGGAGAACTCTCTTGCTCTTGGCGACTCGTGATAACTTATAGGCGGTTTGCTCCTTCGCATACCCCTGAAGTAGCTCATCTAGATGCAACTCTGTCTGGTGGACCAACTGATGAAGATTGGGCTATATTGCCCTGATTCCCATTACCTTGTTGGTTCTTAGGGCACTCTTTCATGAAGTGACCCTCTTGACTACACTTGAAACAACCAGTGGAGCCATTACGACACTTACTTGGGTGGTTCCTACCACACTTAGCACATGCAGAAGTCCAGTTACCTCCTCTTGCCATACTACCCTAAGACTGCACTGGTCTAGCTCTGAAGTTCTGTGAATTCTGATCATTATACTCACCTTTGTTTCTGGGTGCAGGTGCACTAGCAGATGATGGAGCAGGTCCTTTTTACCTTTGTTGGAAGGGAGAACGGTTCACATTACTCTTTTGTTGTCCAGACTCATTCCCTGTCTTAGCTTTCTTATTCTTAAACTCATTCATATCCCTCTGTTTCTCTTCCTTAACCTGTTGTACATAAACCATCAACCTTTCTATTTCCATGTCACCTATTAGCATCGCATCTTTACCTTTCTTACTCGACAGACGAGACAGCCCAGCAACAAACAAACTCATCATACTCCTCATATCTGCAACCATCTCCAGATCATAACGGGAAAGTTGGGTGAACTTCAAACTATACTCATGCAGACTTAGTGAATCCTGCTTAAGGCTAAGGAATTCCCATACCTTGGCTTCTCTCAGTTCACGAGGAAAGAAACTCCCCAAGAACGCACTCTTGAACACAACCCAACTTAAAACCAGTGCATCCTCAGCCCTACTCTTCTTCCACTGGTCAAACCAAGTCCTAGCCACACTCTTCAGTTGATATGCAGCTAGTTCCACTCGCTCAGCATCGGCAACGTGCATAACCTTAAACATCTTCTGCAGTTCCTCAACAAAATTTTATGGATCCTCAGTAGCGCTTGAACCAGTGAAGCTTGGAGGATTCATACTCAAGAACTCACGAATCCTCGAAGTATCAACCTTCCTGTCGATCCCCTCTTTATTGCCCAACTTGGTTGGTCACAACTTGACTTAGCACTAGGATTGCTTCCCGAAATTCAACATTAGTGACCTCTCCTTGAGGTTGCACTTCAGGTGCATTTGGTACTCCTTGCTCCTCAATATTACGCCTAGCAGGACAACCTCAGACAGCTCTTCGTGGAGGCATGATCAACTGAAAGACACACGCAAGCACGAGTTAGAAAGAGACTTTATAGAGATAAACTCTATTACATGAAATGAGTATAAAAGAACAGAACGAATTTCCTAAATGTTGTAGCCTCCTAATTATAAATGTGGCGCGCTTCACACCGATAACTAAGACTCTATAGACACGGCTTCATAGACTCCCTAGGACTAATGAACTATGTGCTCTGATGCCAAGTTTGTCACGCCCGATCCTATACCCTGGGAGGGACTGGCACTCGAGAACCATTGTTGGCCCCAAGCGAACCTTTGGTCTGGCTTAACTTATAGCGAAAGACTTAAATACAAGAAAATAGTCTCAAAGGATAACTCATGCAATAACTTAAAGAAATATTAGACTAGCCAAAATGGCAACTCAAGTCTCATAGCAAAACATCTGAAATACAAGACTAAAGAACTCATATCTAACTATCTATAAAGCCTCTAAATACTAAGAAGGATGTCAAGACAAGACCCCGATCATCTTAACAACTGAAATACTAGAACACAATATAAAAAGAGTCCTCCGGAAAGCAATGAGGCTCACCAACTGACTCTGAGTGTTCAACTGGATCAACGGGGCGCTGGATGTTCATCCTGGTTACCTGTATCTACATCATTAAAAGATGCAGGCAAAATGGCATCAGTACGTTGTATGTACGAGTATGCGAGGGGAAAACTAAACATTACATAAGCTTGAAAGGAATCTGAAAAGAACACTTACCTTAGCTTTACTCAACTAATAAATACTCAACTCAAATGCAAAGTAAAACAACAATGAAAGTGCAGTTTATACAAGGCATTTAAAATAGTAGATGACAACTCAATGTATTTAAGAAATACAATAACAACTCAGTTTACATATAAAGTAATATAATATTGTAGGAGTTTCTCTAATTGACAACTATCACTATGAGCTAAAGTGATGATACATTGTCTCGTCCATGCTACCAGAACTGTCATATACCTTTCCGTAATATAGAACGCCTCAACTAAATGGATCCACTAGTCTATGATAAAAAACATTAAGGTGTCATCTAAAAAGTATGACCCTTTCTACCCACGATGGCTACATGGTTTATGGAGACTTGACTTATTATGAATTCATCCCCATATCGGTTCTCAATACTATTCCCAAAATTTACTCAGATCATATGCTTTAGAAACAAAACTCTTTCTGTGGTTTGAGGTAATTACTCAAAAACTAGCTTAAAAGCTCTCTAGGAAATCGGTGTTTCCTTTCTTGTTTAAATGTGAAAACATTTCAACTCTTGGGAATACTTAGTTCCCGTATAATCTTTTGAAGAAATGAACTTTACTCTTACTCTTTACTCAACTCAAAACTTAAGTCTTAAAACAAAGTTAAAACATTTGCAAAAGACTTTTGTAAGACTCTATGAACTTCTCTTGACTTGACTCTTAACTTTCCTTGAATTAAATTATGGATTCAAGGTTCATTATCTCATGTTTATGGATGATTTCATGGTGTTTAGACGTACCTTAGAGTGTAGAAATCAACTAGAAAACTTTGGTACGTTACTAGGGAACTCAAACGGAAAGAAATGGGGAAAGGTAGAAAGCCTGGCGGCCCTGGCGCTCTGAGTGGTGCGGGGTGCCGGTCTTGAAACTTCAGAGTCTAGGTTGGGGCGCTCTGGCTAATGCGGCACCCTAGACCCCAAACTTTAGAGTTCCCTTTTGGGCGCTCTGAGAGGCGTGGCGCCCCAGCCCCCTCCCCATAAAAACCCCGAATTTTCTTGCTCATTTTTTCAACTCTAAACCCTCAAAATTCAATTGGTTCTTTCCCCCAAATACTTAGAATCGATTGTATCATCAATATATGTAATAATATACTAGAAATCACACCTAATCTCATGAATCAAACTCAAGAAACTTCTCAACAACTTCAACCATAAGAACCCACAAGAACTTAAACAAATTTCATCAAGAACTCATAATCTTATATTTCAAGAACACAATTACGCTGAATTGAATCATGATTGGCGTGTGGGTGAACTAAACCAACGCAATGTGATCTCACATACCTCATAGGATTGAATCCTTGGCGAAATCCACATCCAAAATCGCAAGAACTAGATGAAATCTTGAACCTTTCTTCTCCTTTCTCCTCTTTTCTCTTTTCTCCAAGCCCTAGTGTGTTTTGGTAAAGCGTAAACTGATCTAATTCTGATTAGATCTAAATTAAACTTCTAAACACGAAATTAATTAATGGGGTATGGAAAAGACCAAAATACCCTTCCAAAATCCGGTTTTGACTTTCCTTATCTAGACTGCCCAACTTCAAATGGACATATCTCATTCATAGGAACTCGGAATTGAGTAAACTCAGCGGAGTTGGAAAGACAATTCGAAGATATTTCCTACGGTATCTGGTAGCACACCTAATTCATCCTGAGCCAGGAGTTATGATCGTTTGAAGTTAACCCAACACTCAAACTTAACATAACTTAACCAATTTTTCAGATTTTTTATTCTTTCCAAAAATGACTCTTTCTAATTCTAATTCTTTCAAATAGCGTGGTGTTACAACAAACTATTTGCAGGAAAAAGAGTTAGGTAGGCCGGTTGCTCAGGAAGAGTTATTCAAGGTTTCTCACATAAAGAAAAATATGAACCCCACAGAAGAAGAAAGATGGATTGGGCCACATGCTCAAGAGACATATGTAAGAATTTCATTCAAACTTATTTTTTTCTTTTCCTTGTATATATTACATTGTTATTCTAAGAGTTCTTCATTTAAATTACTGTATATGTTTATGCAAAAAAAATTAACTATTATTATTGTACTCAACCTCCTGAAAATCAGAACATACCACTTACACAAGAACAAACAAAGTAATTTTGGTGAGAGAGTGCAAGTGAATCGGTTAAAAGTTCAGTCTACGATTTCACATAAAAGGCTTATCAAAAGAAGAAGTCTCGGTTTTATTGTTCATCATCCTCAAGCTTCGTTTATGTGGATAGAGAGACAATGTCTGCAATGGAGAGTAAGATATATTTTCTCAATGTTGAGCTTGCTGCAATAGCTGAAAGAGAGACGCGGTGATTATAATAGTAAAAGAGGTAGAGAGCAAGAGGTATGCAACGCTTCAAACCCAACTAAATTATCTTTTTGATTCAGGAAATATTATTCCTTTATGTCCCAATGATACACTTCAAGGTCTAGATAATGAGCCCGATAAGGAGAGTAAGGGTGATGATGAGAGTGATGAGTATGATAAGGAGAGTGAGGGTGATGATGAGAGTGATAAGGAGTAGTTGTATCTATTAGACATTTCAAACTTTGTACGTATAGTTCATATAGTTTGTATTTTTTTGAAATTGTTTGATTGTATTTTAGTTTAATTTGAATAGATTAAGTTTATTTTGAAGTAGTGTAATGTAAATTTTGAAAAATATCGTGTTGGCAACTCTTTGAGCTAGTTTGATTGTAATATACATGTAGACAACAAAATAACAATAATTTGTTGTCAGTTTGTTGCAGAAAATCGAACTCCGAAGGTTGGAATCTCAATAAATAAATAAAATAAAAATAAATAATACCGATCTCCAGAGGTCAGAATCTTAAAAAGAAAACAACCAAAAAAATATAATACTGATCTCCAAAAGTCGGAATCTCAAAAATAAAAATTTACTCCCTCTGTTTACTTTTAATTGTCATGTTGCGCTTTTTTGAAAGTCAATTTGACTAATTTTCAAAGTTAAATTAAAATACAATAATTTGATATTTAAAAAAAATAGATATTCAAAAACTATGCAAAAGTACTATAAATTGTAATTTTTTGCATATCAATATGATGAAAAAAATCGTAAAATGTTAGTCAAAATTCTTATAGTTTGACTCTAAAAAGAAAACTATGACAATTAAAAGTAGACGAAGGGAGTATAAAATATATAATACCGACATTCGGAGGTAGAAATTTTAAAAAAGTAAATAATTAAAAATTAATTATTACCGACATATGGAGGTTGGAAATATAAAAAATAAAAGTTAAAATAAAGTAATACCAACCTCCGCATGTCGAAATCTCAAAAAAATTGAAAACTAATCAATTCCGACCACTAAAAGTTGAAAATATATATATAAAAATATACAAATCAAGAATACCGACCTCCGAAGGTCAGCATCTCAAAATCTAAAAATTAAATATTCAGATATACAAAGATCAAAAATTATAATGCTAAAATAATAAAAATAAATAATACCGACTTCTGTAGGGCAGTATTAATATGATATATATTTCTACATTTTATTATTTAATTGATTTCTATGGATGAAAATAATAATTAAAAAAAACACATATAAAATCTACCTCAAGAAGTCGATAAATAAAATAAATTAAGCTCATAATTGTTTCGACTTAAAATTAAAACTGACCTCCGGAGGTTGGTATTGAAAAGAGATCAAGCTTTTTTTGACTTCATAGCACTTTGTTGACCTGATACATCCTCTTAAGTATGATTTAATTAGAGGTGTAGTTTAATAAACTAATCTTATTAGTGATGTTCTAGAGCTCTAAATTTGACTACAACTATTTTATGTAGTTATTTGACTACTACTACTAAAACGTTATTGTCAGCAACGTTTCATAATTCGATAATTCGTTATTCTAAGACACATACAACTAAAACATGACTCATAATAGCGTTTCTTCTGAATGGCTGAAAATTAAAATTCAAACTTATACATGCCTCATTCATCATTCAAATTTCCACTATTAAAATGGATATATATTTTTTGTACATACGTTCACTTGAAATATATATGATTTTCTCTTTTCTTTCTTTCTTCATACATAGACAATACTTTTTACAACAAAAGGGGAAAAAAAGTAAGGAAGACTTTGCACAAATGGGAGGTTGTCTTGTATCCTTTCCATTTCAAAATTTGTAAATAAATCATATGAGAGATCTTTTTTCTAGCCTAAGGTACCATCTGTTCCAAATATTAGACCAATCAGTTTCTTATTATTAAATATTAAACTATCAATAAAGAAGCTATTGAATTAAAACTGATGTAACAAGTAAGCAAAACAACTATTAAAAAAAACATAATGACTACATCATAATAGAAGAGACAAAGAAATTAATTGAGATTGTAGTAAAGCCCTCCTCACTCTCTTTTTGCTTGCAAAAGTATTATTTATGTATGAAAAGAGAAGAAAAGAGAAAATCATATATATATTTCAAGCGAATGTATGTGTGTGTGTATATATATATTCATTTTAATAG